GTTAAAATTATTTGAAGTAAATTATCCTTATAACGAAAATTATTTTTAGTAAAAAAAAAAAAAAAAAAAAAAAAAAAAAAAGGTTTTGCTAAAGCTCGAGGTATGTAACAAAACTAATGGGCGCACGAATGGCTTTTAGTTTTACTGCGTTAACAATGTGGTAGTATGTATGGCTGACGATTATTATTGTGAGAAGTGAGTAAACTGTGTGAATTGATTGGCCTGTGTTTTTCATTGATTGATTGATTGTATATTTATATAGCGCTGGTATCCATGCCACTGTAGCATGCTCACTGCGCTCTGGTTTTCTTAAATCTAATTAAACAAAAAAGTTTTAAAATGTTTCTTAAATAATTTTTATCATTTTCAATTCCCCTAAAAGATTGAGGCAAACTGTTCCATAATTTTTGCGCTATCGCTGCAAAAGAGCGCACCCCTAAGGCATTTTTCTGTGTTCATCCAAACGGGGAACTCTCAGTAAGTACTGTGTTGAAGACAGCAGGCTCTTCAAGGATACATGTTTATAAATCAGTTCTTTAAGATATTCCGGTGCTGAGCCATCTATACAGCTGTACGCCAAGGACAGAATTTTGTAGTCAATGCGTTCACTGTTACAGTAATCTAATCTTGACTTGATTGGAGTTACCGCTACCGCATTGGCTGTTATACTATTGTGTTGAGGACGCAGCTGACCCAGGGCACGCAGATGACAGAAGCATGCCTTGAACACAGAACTGATATGGGGAATCATACTAAGTTTACTGACAATATATAATCCAAGGTCTCTGACAGTCGAGGACAACGGGATCTCTGATTCACCAACTTTTATTGATGCAATGGCAACTTTCCGAAGATTTGGCGTCTGAACTACAAATAATTGCATCAGTCTTATCATCATTTAATTTTAGTCTGTTTGATGACGTCCATTCTTTCACAGCAAGATAGCAGTCCTCGACAGCCTGAACAGCAGCAGAACATCCCAAGGGATCAGGGCGGAAACACTTGTATAGTTCTGTGTCATCTGCAAATATTTTGCAGGAAATACCACGACTTTCAATAATGTTGCAGAGCTGGCTAGTTTACATGGAGAACAGAATAGGTCCTAAAACTGAGCCACAGGTAACGGAAGTGTCCATGGAAGATGCCTGCTTCACTACAATACGCTGAGTCCTGTCAGTCAGATAAGAAGAAAACCAGCGAAGTGCAGTTCCCAGTGATGCCTGCAAAATTCAGAAGTCTTGACAGAAGAAGCTCATGGTTAATCACATCAAAAGCAGCATTTAGATCCAACAGAACCGATATTGTCAGAACGCCACGGTTAGAACTACAAAGAACATCATTCATAACATGGAGCAGTGCTGTCTCACAGCTGTGCCCAGGTTGATATGCAGATGGAAACTTTTCAAGCAAGACATAAGTGTTTATAGTTTAGATGCTGCACAAGCTGCTGTGACACAACTCTCTCAAGAATCTTATATACAAAGGGCAGGTTGGAGACCGGCTAGAGTGTTGTTGTCATGTTGTCATGTTGGACGTCGTGAGTTTTTTTTATTCATGAATGTTTAAACTTAAAAGCATGGAAAAGTGGAATGAATGATCATGAATGTTAAGTATAAAAAGAGTGTTCGATATGTAATGAAGATCAGTCGTTGGCGACATTCATTGCTATTACAAACAATATAATGCGAATGAATGTTTACGTTCTAAAGAGACATTAAAATAGACATTAACTTGTTTTGTAGCTGCTATTTTTAGTGTAGCGGTGAGCGAAAATGATATTTATAAACATACGTTATGACGAAATACTAGACTAGATTCGGCACTATCGTTATTGTGGTTACCAAATCTAAATGGTCACTAATTAAGTCGTTGTTGTCACTGAAGGAGTTCATTTATGGCTGAGTTCTACGCTAGAGAAACATTTTATATGTAGTGTGTTTAAATGGTTATTCTTGTAAAATATTTGTATTGGCTAAAAAACATATTTATTCACGTGCTGACAATTAATATGTACAATGTAATTAAAAAAACAGTCCATTTATCTCGGTAAAAAAGGTATCGTTTCTTATCTTATTTATATTGTCTGTTTAACCCGGTTTTCACGTCCTCCAGCAAACAAACTGCTTAAAATATCTTATGAAAAACTTAATATGGTGCATTGTTCAGCATCATCCTTATTTGAAATTTTTAGGTTGGATGATCATTCATTTTCAGTTACAGGTTCAGTCGGTTGTTTTATCCAAAATATTTTATTTAAAGCTGAAGTCAAAGCTAAAGGAAATGTTTTTAAGTTTGGTTTAGGAGAAAGTTTTCAAATGATTATTTTTGCACTGTGGAAATTGTTTTAAGACGCCCTTTCTTTCCTTTCTACAAGCAAAAGAAAATTAAAACATATTTCCTGAAAGCGTTGATTCAAATGTTTTGTCGCAGAAGAGATTGAAGAAATGGCATCACAATGACTAAGCCGATCCAAAGCATACAGAAATTATAGCTGAGGGAAATATAATTTAATGACTATTACTAAGCGCGTCTAATCATAAATCTATGTTAATAAGTGGTAGAGTTGATGGATCAAGTTAATCAATTGATTACTAAATTAATGTAACACGTTTTTTTCGTGTTTTTTTTAAAGTTTAATAAAACGTTAAATTACATCTACAATTATTATATTGTATTGTATTTTCTATTTGCCTTTCATAGTTGTACTAACCACTTTCAGGAATAAAAAAAATGTTTTTGGGGGAAAGCCGGTAGGAAATGGGGTGCTATGGAAGAGTTTACGCCGCCAAATTACGCGGTGGTCGAAAAAAAGTTTGAGACCTGCTGTTGTTCAGTAATCTTCAGCGTTTTATCCGTGGTAAGATGATGTAAAAAAATACGATGAAGACTGGAAGTTGATTTCGGCGAATAAGGTCGTCTCCAAAATTAGATGACTACCGATTAGGACAAGATACGGTAGCATATTTCTGACGAGAGACGGTAAGGGGATTTCTTGGCGTGCTCTGGGGGCTGGTGAGAATATCTCATTGGACTCCGGAAGCAGGTTAGAAGATCTCAACAGTCTCTGAGAGCAGGTGAGAAGATCTCATCGCACCCTGGGGGCAGGTGAGAAGATCTCATTGGACTCTGGAAGCAGGTCAGAAGATCTCACCAGTCTCTGAGAGCAGGTGAGAGGATCTCAACGCACTCTGAGTGCAGGTGAGAAGATATCTGGGGGTAATGTAAGATCTCATTAGTCTCTGAGGGCAAGTGAGGAGATCTCATCAAACTCTGGGAGCAGGTAAGATCTCATCGGTCTCTGGGGGCAGGTAAGGAGATCTCATCGCGCTCTGGCGTAGGATGGATTGTACCAAATTTAAGGCTGTCTATTGTTAAGAACAGAGTATCTCACAAACAATTAATTTATAAGATGGACCTTTGAAACATGTCTAACACACGTTTTTCCTCGTCATAATGTTACATGTGCTGGGATGGATGACTCTGTTGAAACAATTCAAAGCTGTAAAACGAAAACGATATTCTTACCTAAACATTATTTTTATCATTAAGTTAAATTTTCATAATGCTATTTTAAAGCTTTCAGTTGTTTACATTATAACTTATTCACTTATTCAGTATCTTTCTCTTTATATTCAGCCCCGTTTGCGTCTATCACTGTAGGTGTCTAGCACCGGTGGTTGGCTACCTCTTTCTCTTTACTTTCAGCCTCTTTTGCCTCTATAACTCTTTGTGTCTAGCACCAGGAGTTGGCTAGCCCTTTCCTTACACACTACGTCTTGGTACACTACGGCACACTGTTTTTAACATACGCCTTGAGATGGTTCATAGTTAATTATTTTTAGCATTTTTTTCGTTGTCTCCACCCACTGGCCAGGCGATAACACGGAAGTAAATTGTGCGTCAATGCCTTGGTCATTACAAAGCCTTAAAATGAAGTATGGTCTAGTTACAATGACCGTCTTTTTTTTTTTTTAAACTTAAGGCTAAATTTTATCCCCGGGTTCAAACACTTTCCACTATAAAGGGGTTAATGTTGCTATAAAGGGGTTAATGTTGCTATAAAGGGGTTAATGTTGCTATAAAGGGGTTAATGTTGCTATAAAGGGGTTAATGTTTCTTGATTACCTCGTATTAGAAATTTTTAGGAGAATTGTTAAAAAGCTGTTAACAGAAGGAAGAGTGCATTTTATTTTAATACGAATCAAACACCATTTAAAGAGTAGATTTCTGGAGGCTGGTGTTTTGCGAATGGTTTTGTTTTTAGTCTGTTTAAAAACGTTCACTAACCCTGGATATGACACGCGGAGAAATTTAAAAAAAAAAAAAAGATTCAATTAATGAAAGCCACCGTGCATATGTTTTCATAAATGTTTTCCTTTAAATTTTGCCCAGCATTCTAACACAAAAGTGACACTTAGAAAACAGCTGACTGCATCCTGTCAGAGATGAATCATCAGAGGCGTGCATTAGTTGTTGTCTTTTTCCCCCTCGCTAAGAATAATACGTAGTTCGTCTAAGTTGAAAGTTTTAAAGATGTCTAGCAAGCGTTGTCTTTGTTTAACCAGTGTCATAGTGTAACGATTAATTGATTGGCGGATTGAAACTGTGGCTCAGTAATTAGAAATTAACACTGGCGTCTACATTGAAGAACTTTTCATCCACGCTTAAGTTGCTGTTTTTGTGTTGTTTTGTGTGTGTGTGTGTGCGTTTTTAATTTAAATTTGATTTTATTTCTTTAATTTTTATTCCAACTAATATTCATACGCCATTCATTTCATAATAAAAGTTTAAAATTTCTATTGACATACTTTCACGTGTGGAAAAGCTCCCATAATAATGGGGACCCACTCTAACGTTACCAGAAGAAATGGAATTCCCTTACCTATAACACCCCCGCCCCCCAACTCAAAATCCCCTGTAAGAAAGTGGACCGTGGGACGACCAGTTCCGTATTTCAGTCATGTTGATGTTAACAACAGTCTGTTTGTCAAAGTGTAAACACGGTGTTTTAGATGAGGTGTGGTAAGGAAAGTTACACTCAGCATAGCTCTCGTAGATGTGAGCCTTAATCACGCCAGAGAGATATACCTCTGTCATTAGTGTACTTCAATATCAAGTTGACTAGGAAAAGTGTTGAGGACATCTGTTACTTTCTGAATGAAGTGTCTCTAAAGATTCTCTAAAGATTCACGTTATAAATCAATTGTTCCGTGGAGTAATCAAAGTCTTCCTTTGCAAGTGTCTGTGTGAATGTATCCATTATTTCTTTATACAGACAAGTATATATTTGTTAAGTTTATTTTAGCATTTTGTCTTAAGTCATACCAACTCTTGCTTCTAATGTGATTTGCTCACATGACGCAATTTTCACGGATATTATAGATCAGAAAACGTTTGGCAACTGTCATATCATTTATTTGCTCCGTTTCTTTTAACTACTGTTTTCTAAGTTTAAAATAGTTGTTAGCTAGAAGCAACTGACGATGGAATATAATAAATGTACGTGTTGAATCCATCTAGACTATGATGAGAGTCTCAACTACTGTGCCTTCAAATATTGTTGGCATGAAAGATTCCTATTTTTCTTATTGTAACGAGGCTTAAGGAGTTTAAATATAATAATTTTTGTGAAGATCTGCAATCAGCGGGATATAGATATAAGAATGAGCTATACTGACGTAACTCCAAAGAGTAGAAAAGATTTAAGTACTTTCGGATTCCTAAAAACTATCATAGTTATTTTCTATTATTTTACGGAAATCGAATACATTTTAAATGCGAAAAAAATATTTTAAATCCGATTTTATTTTAGTAACGGTTTAAGTATTATTATTATAAATTACAAATACATTTAAAGTATCACCTAAAGAACTATTTTAAGCATTTTATATGTGTCTAAAAGCTATGAAAAAAAAATTAAAAATTTAAAAATCATGATCAAAGAATTACACCGTAATCAATTTTATCGTAAAAACCCAAACATCAATTGTTTTAAGTGCGTCTTTCAGTGCGTTGTTAATATTGCCAAATAAAAATTTTAATTAATTTGTTCTCAATAATCACGCAAATGACGTTATACTGCGAATAGCCTATCGCCAAAACTCTTAGGTGTCTTTAAATTTAATAACCATGCGTGAATAAACTTATTATGTATTTTCCCTTCTTAAAAGTAAAATGAATAAATACAATTGATTGCTTTATAAATTGTTAATTAAAAACACACACATTTATGTTGTCTATATTTTAACATTTTAAAAAAATGGCTTTTTTTATTCCAAAAAATACCTTTATTAAAATTATAACGTAATAAAAACTAACCTTTAAAAATAATTCTAATAAGAAAATGCGGTTTAAGTCAAACAGTGCAGCGCAACTCCATAGCTAAATAGCATTGACTAATCAACTTATAACTAAAGCAAAAAATGACGAACCATATGAAGTGCAAATTATGTTAGTTTGGGTTTGGAAGGGACTACAATCCGGTGGAAGATTTTTCTAAATTTATTTAAATCTGGCTGGGGGAGGGTTTGGTTACTTTGCCCGAGGCAGCACAAGATAATCTCAAAATAAAGGAATGAATTTGATAAATAATTAATTTTCTTGGGTAAATACATTTCGGAGGTAGGAATAAGATGTGTACATTTGTATGTGGATTACTATATAGTTAACTCCTATCGCATTACATTTGTGAAAAAGAGATGTTACATTCTCTTTTTACAAATATGGATATGTTCATTTTGCCCAAGGCAGCACAAAATACATCTCAAAATAAAGGAATGATTTTGATAAATAATTAATTTTCTTGGGTAAATACATATCGGAGGTAGGAAATAAGATGTGTAGGCCTACATTTTTACGTGGATTACAACATAGTTAACTCCAATGGTACTACATATGTAAAAAAGAGATATTTCATTCTCTTTTTACAAATATACGTATGTTTGCCAATTAAGAAAATCAATGACGTTAACAAATCTTGGGTACCTTTATACAAGTATACCCATGAATATCAAAACCCAATCATTTTACACACTTGAAAAATTAATTTTGAAAAATTGACATGGGTTAATATTTACTTTCAAAAATGTAAAATATATATTTGTTTTTACTTTGCAAAAAAAAAAAAAAAAAAAAAAAAAAAAGAAAAAAAAAGAGATGTGTATTCTATGAGAGTAACCATTTAAATGTAAAAAAGCAACAAGACCCACATCTGTTAGAGACGTGAAAATCGGTTGCGCGTTTCTTCTTTCGATCAAAGAATTCTTTGTTATAAGATTTTCTGATAATATATTATAATTTTTTTTTTTTTTAAAAGACAAACATGTTTTTACATTTTTGCTGAAGATATCATTATATATCGAATTCCTATAGCATAAAATATTTCTATATCATATGTAGAGTTTTTGGTGTAAATTTAAGGTAAGTTTTTTTCCAACAATTTTTAGAGAAAAAAGTTGTAATTCAAGTGCACGAGAAGGGGTAAATCTAAAGTATTTCTTTAAAGTAGTAATTGCCCCTCAATTAACTTCTTTAGTGACAAAAGTGATAAAATTAGTGATAATTTAGACTGTGTAATTTAAGATCATGTTTATTGGGGGGGGGGGGGGGGGGAGTAGTTTAGGAGCATGAAAGGGAGTAGGGTAGGCCTATAATATATAGCAGATAAATACTTCTCAAAAATTAATGATGTTAGAGATGTAAATATCATTAAATTTTTAAAATTATCAATTGTGATGAGTTTTTGCAATAGCAGTTAGAAATTATCGCAAAGGAACGACCATTCTTATTCCGATAACATCGGGTCATTTATTCTTTATTATTATATAAAAATTAGCAACATTGGCCACCATAACTTTTTAACGTTCTGGTGAAATTACGCATGGAGTTACATTGAGACATTGGAAAGTTTTACAGACTGATCTACATTAAGACATTGGAAATAATACAGACCGATCTACATTGAGACATTGGTGATATTACAGTCTGATCTACATTGAGACATTGGTGATATTACAGTCTGATCTACATTAAGACATTGGAAATAATACAGACTGATCTACATTGAGACATTGGTGATATTACAGTCTGATCTACATTAAGACATTGGAAATAATACAGACCGATCTACATTGAGACATTAGTGATATTACAGTCTGATCTACATGGAGACATTGGTGATATTACAGTCTAATCTACATTGAGACATTGGTGATATTACAGTCTGATCTTCATTAAGACATTGGAGATAATACAGACCGATCTAAATTGAGACATTGGTGATGTTATAAAATAGGAGTTCTGAAAAAGAAAGCTTCCTGAATGTTGCACTGGAGGTTTTTTCCAACTACAAGCATAGCTTTATTCAATATATATAACCGCTATATGTTTAAATATGTGCATTAATCCATACTTTTTAGCTTCGTATCAGTTCATCATGATCTCACATTGGCTAAAAATCATTATATCATGTATTAAATTATATTAGTCACTACACATGTATAGTTATAATACTTAAGCTGAGAAGCTTAAGGTTGACATTTAGCTTTCTAAGGGAATACATTTATATTTAGCTTCCTAAGGGAATACATTTATATTTAGCTTCCTAAGGGAATACATTTATATTTAGCTTCCTAAGGGAATACATTTATATTTAGCTTCCTAAGTGAATACATTTATATTTAGCTTCCTAAGGGAATACATTTATATTTAGCTTCCTAAGTGAATACATTTATATTTAGCTTCCTAAGGGAATACATTTATATTTAGCTTCCTAAGGGAATACGTTTATTCACTTTTGCATCACTGGTTTCAATCACTGAGAGAAAGCAACAACAACAAAAAAATGTTGTCTGCCCATGTTAAATCAAATGATGAGCGTAGACTGTTAATGAAGTTTACTGTGCGAGATCACCATTTGAATGGCCTGGTAGTTACACAATGATCGCCCCAGTATGATTTTCAACACTCGATATGTTTATTTAAAATTGGGAAACCATGATTCTGTGTTATATATATATATATAGCACGTCAATATTATAAGTTGAAATATAATTTTGTAAATGTAAACCATTCTTTAAATATGGCTCGTGAACTATGTCAGTGAAACAATAATCTTTTATCCTGCTGGTGCGGGTTTGTAAAAGTCTTCTCAAATAAAGAGCTCTTCGCCCTTGTGATGCATTACATTAGAACTTTTGTTTCCTCTTTTAGCTTGCGTGCTAAACGTCCTGGTTTCAGTTAAAAGTTTGCGGTCACCACTAAGAGTTACGAGTGGGTTAGATGTCAACCACGCATCACTTCAAGCACAAACTGACTTAAACTTGAGCATACACATTAAAACAGCAGCTCTTATAACTACAGAGTGGTGTGTTGTGTAACATGGTAGCTGACACGGAAAGCCATGACTGTAGAGATGATTTGACACTGGCCCGTATTATATAGCGTCGAATGGAACTTTGAACAGCTATAGTTAAATATTCGATGCTATTGTGTTTGTCATTATAAGATAAAAATAATGAAATTCTATATTGGGACTAGTGTTTACTTTGTTTCGTAGATCGAGTAATGTTTTGACGGGCTAACTGTGGTGTGATCATGGTGCTCGCCACAAATGTCTAGTGTATTTAAAACAATACCATTCAATCATTGAGTCGCTTTTTTTAATCACTATTTTCATTATATCGTTTAGGAAAAGAAAAAAAGGAACAACCTTTGCTAAAACATTGTTTATCGCATGTGTGTGCATGTCCTGCATTTATAATTGTAGAAAATCCTTCTTAAATCTTGTGTTAACGAGTCCAATAAAACACTTGTTGGTTGGTCCTTTTATTAATTATTAAAGTTGACCCAAACAAAAATATCTGAAGTTGTACGTTTTTTGACAAATATTCAAATCTTGTTTCAGTCCGGCACTACAATCGTAAGCATATTTTTACCCCCAGTTGTTCTTTCATACTTCTATATTTGTATACAAAATTATGTCATTATTTGACATGTGCAGTATCGTTTTTGTTAGTTTCTCTGTTTTTTTCCACAGACAATGACATGAAATAAGTTCACAAGACTAAAGCTAAAACGTTATAATAGATATGAGGTTCTCCACGGCAATCGCTTGCATCAGCTCCCTAATTATCGGGGTCTATGGATTAGGTAAGCACTTCGGGGAAATAACTAGGCCTACTTACAACTTAGAAAACAATTTGTGTTAATACTTTTGTTACTGCGCATCTTAACTTGAGTTCAACTTGAGTACCTGGGGGGGAGGGGGGGGCGCAGGGGAGAGCACAACAAACAATGCACTAGATAAAATACGGTCGGTTAGATTCTCGTTCCCTCTTAGACATTGATGTTACTGCGCATCTTAACTTGAGTTCAACTTGAGTACCTGGGGGGGGGGGGCGCAGGGGAGAGCACAACAAACAATGCACTAGATAAAATACGGTCGGTTAGATTCTCGTTCCCTCTTAGACATTGTCTCTAAAGGGACTTAGGAGATTTGAATATATATCCCTTCCACTGTATACAATTTTTAATGAGGGCTTAAATATCAAATGTAATTGACAGATCTAACATAAGTTACACATACTATTGGTGAAGTTTTAAATGTAAATTAATTACAAAACATTCCTGACTAGGCTAAACTCGCTTGGGTATAGCTTGCGTTTAAATTGCAGAATGATCTTATTTTAGTAAATTTCTTCACTGAAATGAGAACGAAAGGCTCTGTGACTTACACTAACCCTCTCACTCAAAAATCGTTGTGCTCCTCGTGACAGCTTTCAGCTCTTTGTGCATTGTAAACTCATTTGGAGTTAAGAAAAATCAATGTTGATATTTGGAGGAGGTCATAATATTTATTTTTCGTTTCTTTAATGTGTATTGTTACGTACTGCTGTCTATTGTGAGAAATTAATCTCTTATTTTAAGTTTATGGCTCATTCTAAAAAGTGCCTAACAAAAGACGATACGCTATGAGAAATGCAGTAGCAAAATACGACACTCAAAACAGTACTAATTACAATAAATAAGATTTATGAAGTTACTATGGATTACAAAATAAAAGAAATACAATTAAAAAATCATCAACTTACAGTGTATGGTAATTCTTGTACCGGTACGCAGTTAGTACAATGTTAAAAAAAATAAGGTACATTGATGAATATAAATTAACACATATAAGTAAACACAAAATAACACACGTTTGTCTCGTGAAGTCAAAAACCTATTCCTCTCTCAATATTGCTGTCTTTGCTTTTATAGTCAGTTCTACCATAAATTCGAGGCATATTCCGGATTGTACTATTAACCAGAATATTCAAAAATTGAATATAATTTTCTGAAACCTTCGACTCAACCAAAATAGCTTAATTTGTGTTAAACAAGATCAAAAGGAATAAGCCACGCCAAATACTTACGCAGCGTCTGCTATGGATCTCAGCACGGGGGAAATATGACGTAAACACGTCCTACATAACATTATGTTGTAGGTAAATATGATGGATTCCTTTGCAGAGGCGTGCCCGATGATTTGGAAAGAATCAGAATTGAGCCCCCATCAAGCTTTTTTTTTTAAGACACCCGATATTTATAATCAACATTTAGAAGAAATAATGTGTTTAATCAAGATGTACATCCGAAATAGATACTCGTAGCAAAAATATAACATGTTTGTTACGCACTGGCTTCTATTGAGCGAAATTAATCTCTTGTTTTGAGTTATGGCTCGTTCACACAGAGCACAACAAAGGACGATACCATAGAGAAATACAATAATAAAGATACGACACGCAAAAACAGTTGCCAGTTACAATTAATAAGATTTAATTTAGTAATAATACAATTACAACACAAAAGAAATATACTTACAAATCATCAACTTACAGAGTATGGGAAAATCTTGTACCGGTACGCAAATAGTACAATGTGCCAATTAATAATGATGAATGATGAATGCAAAATAAACACATGAGCACATAAAGAATAATACAATTTTCTCGTAAAGTTAATAATATCTATCTGAATCTCCGTCTGAATCTCTCCCTCAATCTCCGAAAACCTTTATTTATATTGTGGGTCCAACGACGCCTCCAGAAACGACACTACTTTTCTAATACAATCGCGAAAATAAAATGCATCCCAAAATTATTTTAGAGCAATGCTATATGGACTTTACGATTACGTGGATGACTAGCCGCTTCTTCTTGTCGTACAACCAACCCGTATTACATGTTACTAAAGTGTAGTAATTCTAGGACAGCAGATTAAGTAGATGTGTCTGCACAATTGTTAGCCAACTCAATACAGATAATTTTATTTTTATCGGACTCGTTGACTTTGCGCAACCACAACCCCCCCCCCCTCCCTGACCGATTTTCAAATAGCGCCCACGTCACAGACTTTGGTACGCCCTTCTTTTTTGCTTTGATCAACAGCAACGGTTCTCAAACTGTGGGTCGCAACCCCTTTGAGGATCGTGCGACCCTTTTCCAGGGATCGCCAAAGACCATCTGAAAACACATATACTTACAGCTACGAGGTAGCAACGAAAATAAGTGTGTGGCTGGGGATCGCCACGACACCAGAAACTGTATTAAAGTGTCGCGGCACTAGGAAGGTTGAGAGCCACTGATCTACAGTATATATGTTATATTCTACAACAGTATTTATATAAGAGCACTATTTGCATAAAGCAAGGACAGTTTAATTGCATCAAGAAATTGTATTTATATAAGAACTTTGTATTTATACAAGGACACGTTTTTATATAAGTACACATTATTTATATGAAGAAACTATATATATAAAGGACACGCTATTTATATAAGGACACTTAATTTATATGAGAGAACTTTATCTATATAAGGTATTATAAGGACACATTATTTATATAAGGACACGTTATTTATATAAGGACCGTTTATTTATCATTCTCAGATTGGTTTGGATCACAAGGGCAGTACAAATGTCACTGCTCGAGATCTTTGTGTCTAACCGATGGTCAGTGCGGTGTGGGGTCACAATGTGAAGCTGGCTGGTTCGGCCCCGCTTGCCAGTATCGTAAGTCTAACGTCGACTTTCCCTATACTCCAAAAAAAAAAAAACTGTTTACAATTTCCTAAGGCATATTTACCTTATCAGTTTTATCAAATAAGATATGTTAGAACTGTTTATATAAAGAATCTGATTTAATTTTACTAATAGAAGGAGTTAGTTGCAGAATTGTTTCATTAACTTACTATAATTATCTTGTAGAAGATCTAGTGACTAAAGGTGCGATGACTCTAACACCATCAAGAATAAATATGAACAGCGTGAGAGATCGTGATGACTTTACGTGTGTAAGAAATCTCAAAAGCATACAAATGGACTGGGATATAGAGTATCCCTTTACGTGGATGAGAGTAGTCCTAAATGACACAGGTAAGATTATTTAACAATTGTGCTAAATTACTTCATATTAACTAGGAATTTAATGCGTGTCTATGAAAGGATGAAAATTCATAGCTAAGCAACATTCTAGTTTGTAGATGTATTTTTTCTTTGATAAATTTCTATGTTCATGTTAAAAAATATTTATGTTCATTATATTTTTGTTTCTATGCTGTATTTTTCATTGTTTCTCATATGTGGTTTAATTAAAAATTTAATTTTAATGAATATTTGTGAAATAAGTAATTAATCGAAGTTTATTTTCAGATTTCTCGAAAGAACTTTCAGTACACTTTTCAATTTCATCAACGCTTGGAAAGAAACTACCATGTCAAGGGCAACAGATATCACGTGTGAACAACAGGACGAAAGATATCTACTGCTTCTTGAATGAGACAGTCAGCCAAGTATCCCTTGTCTGGACTGAAACAGTTTCATTGTGTTCCTTTTACGTCAGCGGAGGTATGAACAATACTCTGATAGGATTATTTAGTTATAATTAGTATCAAGGGTCGCACTAGCAATTGTTCTAGAAGTGTATAAATGATGATATAGCCTTGAACCCCCCCCCCCCCCCCCCCCATAACACCTTTTTTTTCTTTTCCCAGGCCTCAGTCATTATATTAATAAAAATAACTTAATTTCTAGTGAAAATTATTCTCTATTGTGTCTTGACATTTATTTGAACTTAAAAATTTTAAAGAACTTTCAATTTATTGAAATTGTGGTCACCTAAAGTTACAGTAGAAGTCGGCAGGTACCTCTGTGCTATTCAAAACTTCCAACATACTTTAATGTACAATCCGTGAAAGTTGGCAGCCTTAATTGTTACATAAATGTTACATTTACAATGAACAGGCTCGAGCATGTCAGAATCCAATCAAAAGAAAATGTTCCGTGGAATCGCACACTAACGGTGTTTGAAGAATCATGAAGCCATTTATTCAATCTAATTTTCCAACAGCTGTCTAATAAATTTTTTAACAAGTATCTCAAGGTGTGAAATTGACACTCAGGACTAATAATAATAAAGCAGTAGGTCATCGTGAGTTATTGATTCCTATATAAAGATGTCACTGACAAGAAACGTCAACCACAGCGTCCACGTTGAATATGCTAATGTGTGGCAAAACCTATAGAAATATACATTGAAGAAAGCTTGCAATTGAAATAATGAGAATAACATCTTTCGGAGATGAGAGACTTAGTTTAGCATTCCAGACTTGGTTTAACATTAAAGACTTAGGTTAACAGGCAATGCTTAAGTTCAACATTCACTTACGGCTCAAGATTGTTGCAAAACTTAACAGCGACGGCGTCTTATGAAGTGCTTGGTCAATAACGAACATGTTTAGATCAGTAATGTAATCAATAGACAAGGACCAGATAAAAAAAAAGATCACCTTACGAATAGGCATCGAAAAGTACCGTAATTACGATGATTTAGTTCGATGGGCGATGAAAAAAAAAATATTGCTTAATCTTAGACAGTGTAGGTGGGTTTTATTCAGGAACTCGGGCTCATGTCTCAAAACCCGGAGGCCTATGTAAGTGCTCATGGCAAAATATAATTGGTAGCGTGCACGCTACATAGTTTATGAAACATTTTATTCAAACCAAAGAAATGTATGTAGAATAATTTCCAATAGGATTTCTGGGTTACTTTTCACACGACACGATTAATAGAATGCAATATTTAACTTACTCTAGCGGGACATCAAAATCCATGTAATAAACGTTTACAATCAAAATTTTTTTGCTGCAATAATTTCATTCCAATTTGTTCCTTAATTAGTGTTTAATTAATGTTATAAATCTACAGGCACTTTGAAAGTCCAAAAGGGAGGAGGCTCAAGAAACCACTTTATATAAATACTAGAATGTTTTAGCCGAAGGTGGAATTTTTTTTTTTTTAAAAACGTTATTTTTGCCCATGACTTGCAAACCAATAGGATAGAACAGTGGTCCCCAAATGGTGGTCCGTGGACACTCATCGGCCCGCATGCCTAACGCTGCTGGTCCCCATAACATAAATATTTATTGTCTCATAGAAATAAAAGTATTAAAATAAATCATGAACCGGTCCCTGGTAAAATTTCGAAACTTATTCACCGGTAAGCCAAACTTAAATGTTTGGAAACCACTGGGATAGAAGACAAATAAGACCAAACGCGGTGAGCAATATCGAATTTTTAGAAAATAAAAAGAACCAATCACATTAGTTGGTGATTTTCTTCGCAATAGTAAAGCGTAGTCCAATCGGGAACAAATGAATGTAAGGCTGTGAAGACATCTCATGTAGATACAATTTTCGACATTTGGTGATCATAGTCGACTGATTTGTCTTTTTTTCGTACCACATTTTCAATTGGTCTTTTAATGTAATAATAAAGAGCCACGGGTATGGTGTAGGACTGTCTGTGGGACTATTGTTTCAAGGACGGCAGGTAGTGTGTACAACTGTCTGTAGGACAGTTGTTTAAAGGACGGCAGGTAGTGTGTACATCTGTCTGTAGGACTATTGTTTTAAGGACGGCAGGTAGGGAGTAGGACTGTCTGTTGGACTATTGTTAAAAAGCAGGCAGCCTGGGTATGGGATATTCTGAACAATTATTTCTTAATTGATATGTAGCCGGTGTTAAAAAAAAAAAATGCTATCTGGCTCAATTCCTAGCATGAAAAAGTCTTTGGGAAATATTTCAAAGAATGCTAATTTAATTTATGTGCGTATTAGACATTAGATATTAATTAATCATTTCAATCAAGATGATTAATAGAATTAATTGTTTTAAAAACATACCCCATCCCCTCAACACAGGGCGCAACGTGGCGTTGAAACAACCAGCTCGACAGTCCAGTAATTATTATTCTAATTGGGCGTTTGCAAGTGCAGCAGTTGACGGAGACACAAGCAGTGACTTTGGTAGGGGAAGTTGTACCCACACAAAGGGAGATGAATCTGATCCGAATTGGGAAGTCTTTTTTTCAAATACAGTTTCTGTCAACCGATTTCTCCTTTACAACAGAGCGTCTCGATTTGGAACATGTAAGTCTAAATGGTAAAAAAAAATGCATTTATTTTAAGTGATTGTTGTGAGCTTATCGCGAAGGAAAGAAATTGTTTACGTGGGCTACTTCCCCTGAAATAGTAATCACCTATATATTTTGAAAATTCTTGATATCTCGTCAATATGAAAACTGTTTTCATAAATTGACTATTTCACCAAATTACAAATAATTACGAGGGTAGGATTTGGGGGTGGGGTGGGGGAAGATAGTTGAGGGCAAAAAATGTTGTTTTACTTTAATAAACATCTTTTTAACGACAAAATATGTGGAAATGTGCGAAAATTTTCAAAGAAGTTCCTAAAGAAAATATGTTAATTAGATAACGTCCAATGTTAATCCATTCACCGACATGACGTGGTGAGTTAACGCTAGTAGATTGATCCATTCAGCGGTGAGTTAACGCTAGTAGATTGATCCATTCATCGGTGAGTTAACGCTAGTAGATTCATCCATCCATCGGTGAGTTAACGCTAGTAGATTGATCCATTCATCGGTGAGTTAACGCTAGTAGATTCATCCATCCATCGGTGAGTTAACGCTAGTAGATTCATCCATTCATCGGTGAGTTAACGCTAGTAGATTGATCCGTTCATCGGTGAGTTAACGCTAGTAGATTCATCCATTCATCGGTGAGTTAAAGCTAGTAGATTGATCCATTCATCGGTGAGTTAACGCTAGTAGATTCATCCATTCATCGGTGAGTTAACGCTAGTAGATTCATCCATTCATCGGTGAGTTAACGCTAGTAGATTGATCCATTCATCGGTGAGTTAACGCTAGTAGATTGATCCATTCATCGGTGAGTTAACGCTAGTAGATTGATCCATTCATCGGTGAGTTAACGCTAGTAGATTCATCCATCCATCGGTGAGTTAACGCTAGTAGATTCATCCATTCATCGGTGAGTTAACGCTAGTAGATTCATCCATCCATCGGTGAGTTAACGCTAGTAGATTCATCCATTCATTGGTGAGTTAACGCTAGTAGATTGATCCATTCATCGGTGAGTTAACGCTAGTAGATCCAAAGATGACAATCGCAGACACGACATTTGGTGCCTTATATGCGGAGCCGTATTTAGGGTTGTCGTCACCCGCTGCGGCAAACTCATGATTTCATCCGCTTCACCCCCACGCCCCCACTCCCACACACACATTTTTACGAATCAACCCCTCCCTCCCCACCCGTCAACCATGGACATGAACCTTGTAATTTTGAAAACATCCGTACATAATCGCTTAAAGCATTGGTCGGCGAACTGGGGTAAATTACCCCACATGTGGTAGCAACGCACATCTTACGGGTAATGAAGTTCAATAGATATTATTTTTAAAAAAATAATTTAATGAGTGTCATTCACTAAATATATTTTTCTGGCAATATCGCATCTAACCTATGAAAAGGCCAAAGGACTCAATAATTTGTAGTTACAAGTGGCTCAACAGCTAGCACTCACGCATCGTCTCGTCTGCATCATTTTTGATTTATTGCCCCCTGTTTTATCTTATGCATGGTGCGACAAAATCATGGTTTTCCCCCATCCAGATTTCCCCATAGACCTACATCGTGTTAGCCTGGTAAGGAGACACTCTGCTGTTTTGGGGAACCCGTACTCTGGATGTACCCTACTGTGGTGACAAGGTTGCACCATGCACTTGAATTAAAAGTCAGATGGATTATGAAACAGACCTGATCGAGCTTTGTATGATTTATGAACTCTCATTTGGTGTCATCCCCCTGTGAGTGTGTCATCCAGCAGTGAGGGTGTCATTCTTATCTGAAGGTGACTACCCCATGTGAGGATGTCCCGGGTTCGGACCACACCACTGCACTCCTAGGGACGCTACTGCTTATCATTAAAGCCCCAAGAGACGCTGCGGTTTTCAAAATTGCTTACAACATACATTTACTAACTAGAATTTTCACTCAAAACGAACATTGAAAGACCCATAAAAATCCTGTACATAAAACCAAAGATAATGTCTGAAATTCTCTTATTTAAAAAATCAAAAACTTTCCATGTCCTTGAATAAAAACGAACATCATTTCGTCAAAATTTGAAGAGAGTATTTTTTTTTTCTTAGAAAATCCTTTTCTTCCATAAAGAGAGTTTTATGAATTTATTTTATAGAATTCGTTTTGAAATTTTATGTTTCCATTGAAATTAGGACCGTTAGCTATAAAAGTTATTTTGTTCCCCAGTCTGCAAGATTTTATCAGCGTGCCCCCCCTCCTTTTCAAAGCGGTTACCGTATATAAATGATCCCTAATTATGTCATCATTGTCACTGCGATCTATAGGTTTTTTACTTATGTACTAAAAAGGCGGACTTTAGAATAATTTTTTTGTAAATATCGAATTTTGTCCCAATCCCGTTTCAGTTAATAATATTCTTGAAACCAGATTTCCTGCCATTGTACGCTCGCAAAGCAGGTTGGTTGACAGGCATTTTGACCAGGTGTCCAACCAGATTAATTTCTGTTAAAGCTAAATTCTGGCCAACCATTTTTTTTTCCGGATGTCAGTGATTAAAATTTAGGTATAAACTTATTTTGTCTGGTATTTAAGAAGCTTACACTAAATGTAAAACCAGCAAATAATTAGTTTTAAAAAGTGTAATCTTATACGAACGTAATTGTTCTGTGTGTAACAAATAATGCCTTTAGACGTTGATATTCTCATAAAAATCACCAAACCATATTTTGTCGAAATGCTGTTTGGCTAAATCAAAAACTTTTGATCCGCCCTTCAGAACACACATATTATTTATAGGGGGCAATAAAACATTCAAAAAGAGAACCCTTTGGTCGGTAACCCCTATGTCCTGAACAATGTAATACTTGTAATAATGTGCACACCCAACCACTAGCCAAACACAAGACAACAAACTTTAGATTTTAAACGTTTATTATTAAAAGGATATTGTTGCCTTACAAAGCAAATCTGTGCACGAGTTTGTATTCGGAAAAAAAAATAACGTTTAAAATCAAAAGTGATAATAGCTAACATGTAAATCTAGGGTGCCTGTCCAAAACAATTCTCAAAATTACCGATTAAATTTTTTTAAATGTCCTTTAAAAAACCAGTTCATAATAATTCTTGTTTTATTCTGGTCCAAGCGACTTTCAGTTAATATTCAGGCTGGATTTAAGGACCGGTTCAATTTTTAAATTATGTTTTATTATCAAACAACAGGTACTCAACTGTACCAAAGCTGTGGCCTTTAACCAATTAAAATGACTTATGATCCTCTCCTCATTCAGAAGAGACCATTTTAGTTTTCCCTGAGATAAGTGATCAAAATAAAGTATTCAGATAAAAATTCAGACTAATTTTTTAAATATATCCCATTCAAATGGGAAGGAATTTGCAAAGAAGTTGCTCTTTAAACGTTTACTGTTGGAGTACCCGGTGCAAAATGAAATAAATCTTGCATATTTTACAACAGTGAGTATTTAGGATGGATAAAAAACAATAACTCTGTTTTTAAAATTGTCCCTTTCAAAAAACAAAAAAACAAATATATATATATATATAAATATATATGTGTGTTTGTGTGTGTGTGTGTGTGTGTGTGCGTTTGTATGCATGTCCCGTATGCACTCCAATTTATCCAATTGCGATCAAACTTTGGAGAGTTGTTATCCGCAAGTCAGAGCATCTTTGTCTGTCATTACAGCCCTTTTAAAGTATTCCGCGTTGGACAGGGAGCCCTGAATGCTTTTGTTTTTCTATTGTGTAAATATAATTTCTATATGCGCTCCTACGCCATTCATTTGATTGCTATCAAACGTTGGAGAGTTGTTGTGCGCACGCTCGCAAAGGTTTCTGAATTATTTCAACCATGTTAAACGTTTTCGTTTTGAGCCAGGGACCCTGAATTCGTTTTTTCCCCCCTTATATGAGCAATATAAATATAATTAAACAGAGCTAATACATTGGTGGATGGAATTTTAATCAAATACAAATAGGTACATTTCAGTTTGTATTTGACATAATAAGTTGGCTGCTAAAATTGTACAACTGTTCACTATTCTACAGTATTCCCTTTGTGACATGGGACCCTGCATTCATTTTATGTTCTTATATTAGCTATATAAGTATAGTTTCCGTTGGCATTCATGTACTATTCATCTGACTGCGATAAAACTTTGGAAGAAAACAAAGAGAATGTGCTGCGCGGGTGGGAAAAAATTAATCAGATGGACAACCCCTTTTGTAAATTAAATTGTCGATTTTTCTTTTAAGATTTTTTTTTTAGTTAAAAGAGTTTCCTGTGCAAAATAAATTAAAACATGTTTCTTGTTTAGTTAAAAAGTATGGAAACTTAAATGTCATTTTCATAAATGCTTTAGAAAATAACAATTCTAACTTTACGCATGTCGTTAAAATGTTTCTTACAACACAAGTGTTCCTAAATCACTTCAAGGCTTCAAATACTCAAATTTAGTTTGTGTATTGCTCAGTATTTAAATAACTTCAGATAAACTATTTTATAATGTATTCCAATTTTATAAATTACTTTGAGTAACCTAATTAAGATTGCTTAAACAACATTGCTACAAAATCTGTAAGAATAATATATATTTTACAGTGACTTCCGATTCCGATCGGCTTCAAAATTTTGTACTGCGATGCTTCACTGTTGACAACAAGCAAGTTTGTGCATCACCACAAGAGCCTGAGACCAAGCTAATATATACCATTGTTCAGCTGGTGAAAGAGCCTGTATCCTCAGTAAGGATCATTGCTAAGCATGAAGATAAGATTTTGACTCTGTGTGAAGTCGAAATATTTGGGGGTAAGTTTCTCTATTGTAATGAATCTAGAATGATAAGATTAAAAGATAACGATTTCTCTAGTGCTGATGCTGCAATGTTTGTTATTTGAGATATGTTCTATTTTTAACGTGCTCTGTGTGATATTTACAAAGCAATGTCCACATTTTTAAAAGATATTCATTTTTTTAAATATTCAAATTTATAAATAAAATCGATTGATGAAAACAAAACTACACGCTAGTTTTTTTGTGTGGTTTGATTGTGAGTCAAGGTGTTGTATTACAATTTCTTCAAAATCACTTTGATTCTTAGCAAATTGTGCAACTTGACTTGAAGTCTTATACTTATTGTCACCAAAAAAGTTGATTAAATAAAACTGTTTTGCTAGCATTTGCTAGGACACCAGCCTAAACCATGAACGGCTTGTGGTGAGTAAATTTATTTTTAAAAAAACGTTGAAAATAAATAAGGCCTGAAAATGGCACCCCTTTGGTTCATTAAAAAAAAGAGATAATTTTGATATAAGCAGTGGCGTAGCTAGAAATTGTGACATCGGGGCCAACATTGAGTACGGTATGTATTTTTGAACTGAAACAAAATAAAATGGATCCGTAGAGTTTAGCCATTTTTTAAAAAGATTTCCCATCTCAAATAATAATAAGTATATTTTTTGTGGAACTTAAAAATTTCCTATTAATCCATTAACTACCTTTATTTTCTTTGCTTTGGCCCCTCACGTTTATATTAAATATGTGCTGCCCAGGGCGGAACCCCTTTCCTATCCCTCCGCACTCCTACACTAGTAAAAAGTGGCTTTCATGTATGCACTATCAAAGCAATCCATGGAAAACTACAGAGAAACAAAATGTATATATTTTCAGAAAATGATAAATTTTGACACCTTGTGAAAAGTCCGAAAAATAGACATCAGCAGGGCGTTTAATGATTTCAAGTTTGAGCAAGCGTTTTACATAAACGTTATGATATAGTTGCCTTGGATTAAAAACAAAACAAAGAAACTTTGTTTTAAAACCACAATTTCATAGCAATAGATCCAAAGTTGGAAGATTCCCCCCCCCCCCTCAAAAAAAATAAATAAAAAAATTGCCAGAACAATTGGTGTTTATCTTACAGCAGTTGTCCTGATGGCCATTGTTGTATTCGCACTTCCACAAATTGTTTGGGAATTACAGCAGGGCGTTTAATGATTTCAAGTTTGAGCAAGCGTTTTACATAAACGTTATGATATAGTTGCCTTGGATTAAAAACAAAACAAAGAAACTTTGTTTTAAAACCACAATTTCATAGCAAAAGATCCAAAGTTGGAAGATTCCCCCCCCCCCCTCAAAAAAAATAAATAAAAAAATTGCCAGTAAAATTGGTGTTTATCTTTCAGCAGTTGTCCTGATGGCCATTGTTGTATTCGCACTTCCACAAATTGTTTGGGAATTCTTGATTGTGACAATGCGATATAAAACTGTCTATGTGAGAAACGCTATAGTTTTGAGAACAATTTCGACATGATCGAATGTTTTTACTTGAGATTTTTTTTTTAGTTGTTACATAAGCCGGAATGATGGGGGAATATCCGACGTCACAGTAGTCAACTGACGCAGAATGAAGGGCAGATTGGTGTCACTTGGCACAAAGTCAGTTCGTTGGATGAAAACTGTGTCACCCCGATAGATTTCTGAGATGATTTCTACAGTGATGGTGTTGCGCTGAAGGCCTCTAGCCTTCATTTATTGTACAATCCATTCGTTGCATCAGATTTATCAGCAGCAACATGATGGCACCATTCTTCATCATCACAATTTTTTAAGAGACATACCCGAAGGAGTTTGATCATTGAGGAATTCGACTGGATGTTTGCTGCATCATTCGGTTCTTCTGTAACAAACGAAGCTGAGCTGATATAAATCTAGGATCCCCCCTCCCCCCCCCACCCCAAAAAAAAAAAAAAAAAAAAAAACAATAGTAGAATGATCGTGCAGTTCATTCAGATTTTTTGTTTATTGGTAGGAGCAACAATTGCTTATTGTGATGACTCCTTGACAAACATCTGGAGAATATCCAATCCAAATATGAATCTGATGAGATTCTCAGTTGCGATAATTTGTTGAGGAATCACAATTCCTGAATATTCCTGAAACTAGTTCGATTTTTCCAGTTCAGACCCGACGAAGCCAATATTTGTCTTAGTCATTACCTTTAATGTGCATGTTTGTCATCTTTCTGTACGGTACGAAGCTGCGCCCCAAAGTAGATCAATTAGACAACATCAATTTATGTCAATATAACAATATGAGGTAAGCTTTAATGATAATTATACAGAATACAAAAGTATAATACAAAAGTATACGTTTTGCCACATGCCTTCATCAGTACAACAAAAAGACAAATAGGTATAAATTAAATTTACATAATATATATATACAGATATCCTTCATAAAAAAGGGGGGGGCGGGGAGAACAATTTGGAGTGGGCGAAAAAAAACAAAAGACACAGGGAAAGTCACTTGACACAGCATTCGATGATGTCAGCCCGTCTGACTCTTATCGTCAGTGACGGAGTCTGTCGAAAGTATCTTTCAACAACAAAATTTTTTAGGCCAAAGGGGCTTCTCATTGCTTGTGTACCGGTACTTTGAGAATGTATGGGTCTCGCCATGAACCATCGATTATCTTCGCGCCCACTGATGCGAATGTCACAGACCTATTTTAAGATCATGTCCTCTCTTGGAAATGTGCACCGCTCGAAACACTTGTGTCGGACAAGAGTGTGTGGAGCTCGACTCCGTTTTCAACCGTGGGCTTGGGCGGCTTGACATTTCCTTAGCAGTAAATCCTTTTTTGGTAATCTCATTTAGAGCAGTTATCGGGAATTTGATTCGTGAAATAAGTGTCATATTTACTTCATCCTTCCCTTGAAAAACAGGGAAAACTGATGTTCGGTGGCTTGGGTTGGGAGGTGGGGCTGAAAATTTGATAGAATGTGTTATCACTGGCAACGAGTCTATGTGGTAAGTTTAAGCTCGTTACATGGGCGCCTGCAGAAACTTTCTAGGGGGCGGGGGGGCAAAAAAGTCGATTATCTTTCCAGGGGGGGGNCAACAATTTTTTAGTAATGTTTTAATATAGTTTTAATTTACTGTAGCATATTTGTATGGTGAACGGACAGGACATCAGCTTAATTACTTTCTCTTTATTTTCTCTTTACTTTAATAATTTTTTTGTCTATTTTTGTCTAAAATTTTTTTATCCAATCAATCCAGGTGGGGGGGGGGGCAAGTGCCCCCCTTGCCCCTACCTGCTGGCGCCCATGGCTCGGTATTTTGACAGCAAAAAGGTCAACAACCGTCAGAGGTTTTTGCCAGCCAGAAACATACGCGCAAAAGTTACGTTAATATAATGGATTTACAAAATCGTATCTATTACCTATAATCAATGATAGCTTACCACAACAATGTTATATTTTGATGAAATATGGTATGATGTGGAATACTTCACAGATGTGGTCTGCAAATCTAACTTTTATGGCCTTGAGTGCAATTCAAGCTGTAACTGCAAAGATAAGTCCGAGTCTTGTTTTGTGGCGACTGGTGGATGTCCATCTGGCTGTGCACCTGGTTATTACGAGGAAGGTTGTAAAACTGGTGAGTTTCTCTGACGATGAAATGTGGGGGGTTCAGGGATATTTGATGTTAACAAGTGTAAATAGCATAATATCTGTAAACAACCTACATCTTGGCATGTGGGGAAAGTTCAATTTTTCATCTTGGGACTTCATCAAATTCATATAGATGCTTTACACATAGACACTGTCAGACAGTGGCGTTATTCTGTCAGACAGTGGCGTTGACAGTAACGTCATTTAGGTTGGGGTCACGAAACAAACTGTTGTCTAAATGGTGAGAATGTTGTCTAAATGCTAAGGATGTTATCTAAATGCTGAGAATGTTGTCAAAATGCTGAGAATGTTTTCTAAATGCTAAGGATGTTATCTAAATGCTAAGAATGGTGTCTAATAAATGATGAGAATGTGGAAGATAAGTTGTTTAGAATGCTCAGTTTGCATTGCAACTGGATGGGCTGACTTTGCACTTAGCAGCTATTTTATTTTCATTTTTGTAAGTTTGTAGCAGTTAAAATTTGACTGAATATTTGGTTAGCAGCTTTTCAATGACTAAGAAATTCTTAAACAATGATAACTGATGGTATACCGTCAACGACTGGTTGCAATTTTGCTTATTTGTACACTTACTTGTTTATATCTTTTATATATATTGTCGTGCGAAATAGTATTCTGGAAATCCTTATAATAGGGTAAGACCAATGACCACGATGTGCTAATGTTGTGTTTACTGCTCCAAAGGGCTCGTGGCAATGTTCCCTCTAAGTTTTGCTGGTTCGTGTGCAAAATAATACAGTTGTGTGCAAAGTTTTAACAGCATCAATTTTTTGTGTGCAAATTTTTATAGCCCACAAATACACACACGTAAATTTGCTGCGCGAATACTCAAAACTGCTGCGCAGCTTCTGTGAGATAGCTGCGTGGCCGCGCAACCACGCAGCTTAGAGGGAACATCGGCTGGTGGTCGGAGAAAAATTCGAGAACCAATTGCATTGCGATAAAAACTTGTCTAAAAATAATGTATAGGCTAATTTAATTTCATGACTAATGCTCTGGTACTTTTTACAAAATTATTTACAGCGTGTCCCCCTGGATCATGGGGTTCAGACTGCCTTCTATTTTGCAATGTAAACTGTGTTGACCATTCTTGTAACAAGGAAAATGGCGAATGTGACAAAGGATGTGATGGTTATTCGGATCCTCCACACTGTCAAACAGGTAGGCCCTACTGATACTGTGTGGGTTGTTTAAATGTTAAAAAATGAAACGCATATTTTAATATATTGAATTTTGTTATTAGATGATGTTTATCCTAAGTGTGCATAGTTGCTTGCATAATTGAATTTCCTGACTATACACATTACTATGTCAAATTATTATTTTAGATTAATCTCTTTAAAATTGAGAAATGGGTCTACTTTACTAGACTTTAGATGAATGAGACATAAACAATTTGTGTGTAAATAAAACAGTATGTGAATGTTTTAAATATGATAGACAGTAGACAAAATACAAATTTAAACATGCTATCTTCAGTACAACAGAATGACAAATTTAAGGTAAATTAAATATTACCTAATATATTTACTTACAATCAACTACTATTTAAAAATGAAAGAACAGAAAAAGAATGTGAACAAGTCCCTCACATAAACGAAAACAAAATGAAAATGATCCGAAAATTTAGTGTTTTCATTAATTGCTAGAATATTTATTCCTACGGTAATTTAAAATTTTCTTATTTTCAGCATGTGATGTAACTAGCTATGGTGTCAATTGTCTAAATACCTGTCCAGTAAACTGCAACTCTGACGGGTGTAACCGTAAAAATGGAGCCTGTTTTGGATGTAGACCAGGCTATCAAGGAACAGAGTGTGATCAAGGTGGAACAATTTCAAATGTTATTTAGGAAAATAAATATTATGATTAATAATATTAATATGTGGAAAAATTGTAAATCTTATTGCAATATTACAACAACAAAATACAAAACAAAAACACAATGTAAACACACCTCTTCAAGTTCTATTTTACAACATAAATTTTATGGGTCTGTTTTTTTCCTATTTTCTTTAGGAGTGCTGCTATGTCACCGTGACACAAAGGGGCTTAACCCATTACGTAACACTTCCTTAGTGATGCTTGATTCAAAAGTTTCTAAATTTCTACCAACATGTCAATGAGAGAAGATATATTTTTCTCTACTAATTTCTGCTGTTAAACTTTTATAATTAGGCCCTACATTGTTAATATGAACTCATAAATTATACAACGTATTTATGTATGAACAATAACCTCTAACATTTTCAAATTAACCTTACTCAAATTCTATTCTCATTCCAAAAAAATAGAAAAGAAAATTAACTGAAATTAACTAAAGTATATTAAGATTCTACATGGTTTCTGAAAAGTTTAAAGCGCATTACTAGACACTAGTGTATGCAGTGTGGGGATGGAGGCCCAGCACTAACTCTAACAATGCCACTTTACTTAACTACACTTTTTCAGTTTTTGTTATATATATAGCTGTTGCATTCCATTGGTTAAGTACATTTTTAAAGAGCCATGTGCTGAATGACATTTTTTTAAAATTTATATTATATAACTAACTGCTAAATGACTTGTTTTAGTTCATATTATATATAGCTGTTGAATTTCATTTGTTAAGTATATGTTATAAAGCCATATGCTGAATGAGAATGTTTTTAATTTACATTATAAAGCTACCATCTAAATTAGATTCTTTAAGTACTTTTATTATTTTATAGTTTGTGAGTTTGGGAAATATGGACAAAAATGTACCCTGAAATGCAGCAACGCTTGTTTGAAAAATGGTACAAGCACTTGGTGTGGTAATGTAGATGGCAGGTGTCTTCATGGATGCAATGAAAGCTATACTTTTCAGGACCATGATGAGTGTTCCTTTTATAGTTAGTATTTACATTTTACATTTAAGCATTTGTTATATTTGCCAAAACTGGTTATATTTCCTTGCATTTATTATTATGCCTATAAATATTCAGAATTTTAAAAAAATGAATCATTGTCATTACAACAAAAATCAGCAAAACACTTGGTTACATTGAATTGGTTAAATGTTATTTAGAACATGCAGATTGTCAGCCAAGTCTTATTAAACATTAAACATTAACAAGTCTGAAAAGTATAACAAAGAAATGTATAAATAAACTTTTTATCAACAATCAACAAGATATTATATTTAAAAATTATTTTTTGATAAATGGGCTAAAAATATTTTTTTTGAGTCCATACTATTGAATGTATATAACCAGACGTTATTTATTTAATCAAGGTAGCCAAGATGGATCTCCAGTTCCATTAGCTGCTGTTGTAGCACCAGTTGTCCTGATTGTCCTAGTTCTCTTAATTCTAGTGGTTGCTATTGTTTTGATCAGGTTAGTGACATATGATGTAAAGATTTTGATTCTTTAATTCCTATGGCAGATTGGATGACAGTGTGGTCATTGGATGTCTGCGTCATCAATACCAGATCATGACAAACAAAACTGATAGTCTCAAGCTCAAATTTCATTAATACCCAGACAAGCAATTCCCAGACAAGCAAGTCCCAGACAAGCAATAACCACACAAGCAATACCCACAGATACAATACCCAGACAAGCAATTCCCAGAATAAAGCTATTCCCAGACAAGCAATACCCAGACAAACAATTCCCAGACAAGCAATACCTACACAAGCAATACCTACAGATACAATACCCAGACAAGCTATTCCCAGACAAGCAATACCCACACAAGCAATACCCACACAAGCAATATCCACATATACAATACCCAGACACGCAAAACAACTGATAGCTTTGCAGTTCAGAGGGTTAACCTCAACATAAAAATCTGGAGATTTTCCTTTGGGCTCACCAGTTCCATGGATAGGGGAATCCTACTCATGAGGAATCAGCTAATTCTCACTAACAAAATCTGAGGGCTTGTGATTTCTTAACTTCCACTGAAAAACCCCACCGAACGACACCATCCCCTGACACCATCATCTCATCAAGAATGGTTTATATAGGATATATCAGAATCCTAATTTAAGGAAAGAAAATCAGGCATCAGACAGAGAGTGTCTGCTTTGCAAATGAAAATAATTAACTGCTCCAGTTTGGTACATCTTCAACAGGGGGGCCAATGTCTTCATTATTTTTTATACTTTTTCTAATGTGTAGCCTTGTCATTGACTAGATTAGCTAAGAAAAGAAGTTAAAGCAACTTAACTTGTGAATTGAATCATTTTTGGGTTAGGCATTCCTGTTTTCAGCTGTAGAATTAACCAACTTCTGTCTGGTTAGCTGTAGTATCAAGCCATCCTCTGTATGGGTAGAGATGAAGTATCAATCATCTTCTTTCTGGGCAGATTTGCTTTCAAGAACATTCGGGCATATTTATACACTGATAAAAACATCAAAATCACTTTATCAATTTTCATATGAGTCACATCAATCAATGAGTAATACTATTTTTCTGTTTGAAAATTTATAATAAATGTTTTTTTTAAATTCAAAATAATAGTTCCATTTTACTTTCTTTTCTTTTTTTAAAACTTTTTAATTTATTTTTCTAACCTGTGTCATAAAAGACGGAAGCGCCAAGAAGTGGAGAGTAAAGCACAAGTTGTTAAACATATTGAAAAGAATGATTTTCCTTTGCAGAAGGAAAGCATTAGGGAAACATCAATAGGTCAGTCAAGTTTCATAATCATTTGTATTTTATTACTTTCTTATCAACATTTCATCTAATTTTAATTTGGAAATAAAAATATTATATTATAATAATTTTGAATATAAGATATGAAATAATCATAGTTAGCTATTTTTTTAAAGCAGATTGAATTTTAACACCAATGAAATTACATTTATTGTGTGGACAGTGAAATGTTTTAGAGCTTAGATTTTTAAACAGTAATTTTACTTACTATACATTTTTGGCTGTATTAATATTTCATAACAATTTCATTTAAAGGTATAAGTGGTTAAGTAATTCTTTAGATGTGTCTGGTTTCTCTTGATATGTACAGTTTTTGTAGAGAGAGAGAGATAGACTGACTTCTTAGCACTTGACTCTTAATTATTTGCATTTATAATTATAATTATATAATAGATAATGTCATGGTAATGGAAAGAAAATTATTATTTGCAATTTGTTAAATTAGCTTAATCTATGTATTTTCAACAGTTAATTCATTTTAAGTGTAACCTATACGAAAAAAGCTAAAGAAAAAATTTAAAGAAGAATTTAGGGAAAGTTGCATTATTCAACAGTCGAATTCAACTTTCAAACATGTTCCGGGATTTTTATAAAAATTCAAGTTATTTATGATGGTTAATTAATGCACACAAAAAAACCATTCAATTCATGTTTCTCTGGTGCACAAAAACTAGTTTACTGATCAAAATACTGGTAACTTATTTATTTCCCTTAATGCATATAACCACAAGCATGTTAGATAAATAAAATTCCTTTGAATGGAACTGTCCAGTACTGGTGTCACATCATTTAGCCTACATGTCAAGATATTATGTTAATGGCAATAAATATTTAACCTATAAAATTGAATGAGTTCCACCATTAATTAAATTCAGAATTATTAGCTCTTGGAAATATATAATGTACATTATCTGAGCATTTGGTATTATATGCATAGAACTATAAAGATAAAAATATTATAGATAATAATTTATAAATAAGTGATCTCATAGCTTGACATGACAATTTACATTTTTAGAAATGGATGAAGTTCTTACAATAGAAAATGCATCAAAAGAGGAGACAGAATACTTCAACAGTACTCCAGAACAACAAAAGACATCCATAGCAGTTACTGAGTTAAATGACTTCTTGTTGCATCATCAGAAAGAATTCTTTATCCAACAATTTCAAGTAAATTTATATTTAATATGATTTGGTACTCTAACAAACAAAGATGGGTAAATGATGACTATGAAATTCAAAAACCAAACTTTTTAGAAATTTAGAAATTTAAAAAATATTTCTGGATATTCTAATTTAAATTAACTTTTTAATCAAATATTTTTCCAGAGTATTCCTGCTCCTAAAAATGTCACAATGGAAGTTGGAACAAGTGAATTAAACATGAGCAAAAATCGTTTTAAGAATATTATCACATGTACGTACTATGTCACAATACTCATTGTGATCTTAAGTCTGAGAGATTATTATTTTATTTTTTTTTTAAACTTACTGTAAATTGTGAAATTATAATTTCTTAGTTCATTAAAATAAAACTTTGTATATGTATTTTTTAAAATATATAGTTGATGACATTATAAATAGTTTTATCTTAAAAATCTTTATCTGTAGATGATCATTCTCGTGTCCACTTGAAGATCAATACTGACAAACATGAAGGTGACTACATCAATGCATCATATGTGGAGGTCAGATTTAAAAAACCAATTGTTGATCTTTTAAATGGGAAAAAAAGTTACAATATGTCCAACAGAAGCAAGTGATCAATATATATATATATATATATAATATATATATATATAGGCCTACATATATATATATTTATATATCATTAGAGTTTTTGTCATGTGGTATACTTTGTGTGTTTAGTGATAGAAGACATAGCTTAACTGAAAATTATAATTTTTTTTATCATTTTAGCAGTAAACAAGTTTATTTTGTGTAGTTTACTTATTTTTTTCATTCTCAAAAAGGGATACAAAAATGAAGAAAAATACATAGCGTCGCAAGGTAGGGATATTTTTTGTGTGCTGCAAAACAGTTAAAATTATTTCTTTTTCACTGACTATTCACTTTATACCTCATATATTTTGGAATTAACTTTCTTCTCTTTTTCAAATCAATATAACATTTATGAAATTTGAAATAAAAAATTGTATTACCACTGATATACGGAGTAGCCCAAAAAATGTGATAACATCACTGTCATAAGCATAAAAAAGGTGCTAGTGCCTACAATAAGTCACTGAGAAGCAGGGAGAGTGGTGGGTGGGGGAGAGAGACAGATTTTACATTATGTTTTCTGGTTAGCGTAATAATTTCACACAACTGTCAATGACAAAACATTATATTAGCACAATTATATTACCCTTTGTTACGGGATGTCACGCTTTCTCGGCCACCCTGTACATTACAGTATGTTAATATTATCTTTGGATACTTTACTTTCAACTTAAAGTATTGACAAAGAGCCTCATTTTACCCATTATGATGTCTGTCAATAGGTCCAAACAATGCAATGATCAATGATTTTGTACGGATGTTGTGGGAGCAAAAAGTTGAAAAAGTTGTGATGCTGACAAATTTGGTAGAAAATGGAAAGGTTTGCTACAGAAATTAAAGAACTGAATTATTTATTTATTTTTTTTTGGGTTAATCTTCAATTTCAGAGAGGGAAGTTTCATTTTTTTATCTTGAAAAATTTAAAGCTTTTTTTGTTTGTGGAAAAAAACATTTTTCTTGTAAACATATTTTTTTCTTTAAAATCATTTTAAGATCAAATAAGATAAGATCTTTATTGATCAAAATAAATGAAAACGTTTTTTGTTATTAAAATGTACATTTTCAGTTTCAGCACATAAATAAATACATATTTTAACCTAGACAAAATTTTACAATTATCCAAATTAAGACACAAGACAACTACAATGTTTCTCTTTTGTAGAAATCAGCCATCAATTTACTCTTTTAGTAACAATAACTTATTTAGTGATCATTTAGATTTGGTAACCACTGGGGGGAGCACATTAATCTATATTTACAGACAAAAAATAGCTGTACTACTCTTTATCGCATTAACCAAGTTATATAATTATTTTTAACCTTAAAGATAAAAAAAATAGATAAATAAAGCTGCTAAACTTATGTCAGAGGTAAATTTTGAGTAAATAACCTAAAATTCAGAACTTAAAAGTTGTCAGACAAATCACCATATTAAAAGTTTTAGTGAAAAAATTACTTTCGTCTTACCCGTTAAGTTTCTGCTGTAATAATAAATCCGTAATGGAAAACAAAAAAACAATGCTGGCGTCGTCTTGATATTGGTATAAATAGGTTAATGGTAGATTACTTTATGCTTATTAGAATCAATAATATTTTACACATACAAAAATTAATAGTAAATATCAATCTGTTTTAGGCAAAATGTGACAGATACTGGCCAACAAATGAGGAAGAGAAATTTGGATCAATAAAAATCAGGTTAACTACAACACAGATTTTTGCAGATTACACAATCAGAAGATTGGAACTCATTAAGGTTGGAACTGAAATAAATTACTATGCTAAAGTTGAAGACCAATAAGTTCTCCCATTAAATCATGTTTTACTTTATCCTGTAGACCAGTGGTTCTCAAGGTTTTGAAGGCCGGAACACTAAACTCTGATTTTTTTTTTTTTTTGCCTTGTATTTGATGGACAATTAAAGTGGTTTTGCTGGAGAACAGACTGAGAGCCAATGCTGTAGACCAGTGTTTCCATAACGTTTCTATACTCTGTACACCCTACAAATTATTTGACAAGTCTCACAACCCCTAAAAATTATTTTACTTAGTTTTGTGCCCCCTACACAAGTAACAATGCAAGTTAAAGTTTGAAAACAATGGACTTCTAATTTATTTACTCAACTGTAAAAGAACTGTAGAATTTATAATATAAGCTGGTGACTTATTACATAAATGAAAAAAAAAATCTACACATTTATGGCTTAATTTAAAAACCAATGTCTCCTCTGTTCTTAAATCTTGCACCCATTAAATGTCTTTTCACAAATAATTGAATCAATGGCTTAACCATGACATCTCCATCAAGTTTTATGATTTTTGGTGCTGTCTAACCCAACCTATATTAAAATTTAAAAAGTAAAAGTCTCTTATATTCAATCAAATTGATCTGGTTAAGGACATATAGTAGCATTATCTGTTGATGTTTTTGTCCCAACCAAAAGACTCTGTGGGTGGTGGGGGGTGGTAACGCAACACCAATCCTCCGGAGGGGAAGTAAACCCACCCAGATTCTTAGGGAGAGTGGCCCACAAATTCTTTAAACACAGCGTTTTTTGTTGACCGGACATCCCCAGGCCAGGGGGGCAGGTTCTCGGCATGCCCCCGCACGGTCTGGTGGTGGGGAAACCAGGCATTTGGCCCATGTGAGGGTGTTCCGAGGGGGGCATTAAGAGCTTACACTCGATGGCCCACCGACGCCTTTTCCCAATGTGACGTTGATGTGAGAAAAACATTTAACCTTCATCTTACATAAAATAGCAGTTAAGAGCTAGGGAGATACTTTAAAATATATTTTTAAACTAATTACTTTGAAAAAATTTTTTTTTTTAAAAAGCCATCTGCAGCATTTTCACATCTTATAATTGTATAAATTTTGCTTCTGAGTCCAAAGGAAAATTGCCTTTCCATTATTCTATTTATAATTTTAATGGCCTTTGATGTATCTTTTGCTTATCATAACAGTCGTGTGTTTGTTATGTATTTTTACATCATAAAGTTTATTATAAATACTGATTGAACTATTTTCAATCAATACAGTAATTTTTAGAAGCTTAAATTTCTTTTGTCACCATTATAGTATCAATCATCAAAAATGCATTAGGCTAAATACATTATTTATTTCAAGTCTAAAAATATCTTATGTAACTGTAATATATTGCAATAATTTCTCAACTCATGATAAAACTATAATAGAGGAATATATTAATTAACAACTATATTGATTATTCTTTTTATCTTCATTTTTTTCAATAGAAGGGAAGTTCAACACAAACATTCATGCAATTCCATTTCACTACCTGGCCTGATAAAGGGGTACCTTCCAGCCCATGGGGTTTAGTAGATTTTGAGCAGAGAGTAGCTTCTTATCCTACAGAGGGACCAATAGTTGTACATTGTAGGTTAGTCATTTATTTAATTATATTGGTAATTATAAAAATTGATTTTGATAAAAAAAAATTAATATTTTTACTGCATAATTTTAAAATATTCAATTTTTTTTAAAAATTAATTTTATTCTCTTTTCTCTTTCTAGCTTATCTTCATGCCCTGAAGATAGTTTGCATTTTAATTTTCTAATCCATATAATGTTTGGTATTTTTAAAATAATAATTAAAAGGCATATAGTTAATCTTCTTAGGGTCACTTGCAATTTTATTTAGTTTATAATCGCTGCAACATATTACAGTTGTTAGAATGTGATCAGTGTCTTCTTATTTTCCAGTGCTGGTGTTGGTCGCACAGGAACTTTTATAGCTCTAAGAAACATTATGAGAGAAGCTGAGGATACAGGAAAAATGGATTTTTTCTACACCATCTCAAAACTGAGACAGGATAGAATGTTGATGATTCAAACTGCTGTAAGTGACCATGACTGATAAACCTTCACACATAATTATAAAGCTGCAATGATTTAATTCTAAATGTTCTTTCCTCGGATGATAAAATCCTAATGTAATTTACTTTTACACATATATGTAGTAATTGATCATATTTTCATTAATTATTCTTTAGATGTTTTTTTTTTCAGACAGAAATCATTGTTAAGAATTTTCATTTTCAAAAATCTTATTTGTCTATTTAATCAAAAATAATAATTATAAGGGTCTTAGTTTAAAATTCACCTATAACTCATATCAAGTTAATTATAGGTGTCTGTTGCAGGAACAATATGAATTCTTGCATCGATCTGCACAAGTTGCTATGGTGTGCATAGGGACCACTATAACAGCTAAAGGCATTGCTAACAGAATTAAACATTTAGAGACTGTGCTGCCCTCTGGAAAGACATTAATGGAAAAAGAGTATGAGGTTAAAACTTAAATGCAGTTTTTTTCTACACTAATAATACCTTAACAATGGTGTGTGTTGTTTATGCAATTCTTGATGGGGTAGAACTACATAAAATGTTACTCCAACTTCATTTTGGCACAAGTTGGTGACCTTGATTGTAACCCTTTTGGTATTCTTTCTTACATAATTGCTGACACATACCTTTATTTTATTTATGCCTTCAGGATGTGTGTAATGTCAGTGAAGATAATCACCTTAGAAACAGAGATGCTGATTCTGAAGAAAATACAGAAAGTATCTACCAGAATAAAGAAACTTTCAGTTTAGAGATGAAGACTGACAGATCTTTAGAAATAAAACCAAGTGAGATTTATCTGATAGAAATGTAGATATAAAACCAAGTGAAATGCACCTAAAATATACTTCTTGCATTTTAGATCGAAAGTCTGTTAAATATCTTAATGAAGTACAAAAACATCACCGATGAAATGTTCTATGTTAAACTATTGTTTAATATTATTATGACTATGGCTGTTGCTACAATAAATTTAAGGAATACATTTAAGGAACAATTGGGATTTCCATATGATGAATTATAAATTTCGGCAACATCTCTTTGTCTCACTTGATGTTTTCTGTTGTTTTTTTTTTGTTTTTTTCAATCTTTAGTTTTATCTTTTGACTTAATTTTGCTAACAAAGTTAATGTTATCTACTAGTTTAAAAATTAAATGATACTTTTAGGGAATATAATTGACAAAATGTGAACTAAAAGAGGATTTTTAAAAATGTATTTTCACAGAAGAACGATATAGAGTGCAACTCGCTGGAGATACTGATTTTATTAATGCTGTGATTGTACCGGTATGGATTACATCTGTTTTATAATATCTGTTTCAAATATATTACACTTGAGGAATATAATGGTGTACTTACATAATGTGGGTGTTGACTAGACAATTGTATGTTAGAAAGGTGTGGTGGTGCTATAAATGTTAGAAAAGGTGTGGTGATGTAATATATTTAAGAAAGATATGGTGGTGTCATATATGTTAGAAAGGTGTTGTGTCATTCGTTTTAGAAATGTGTGGTGGTGTAATATATGTTAGAAAGAAGTGGTGATGCCATATATTTTAGAAAGATATTTTTGGTGTCATATATGCTAGAAGTGTGTGGTGATGCCATATGTTTTAGAATGATGTGTTGGTGTCATATATGTTAGAAAGATGTTGTGGTATCATATATGTTAGAAATGTGTGGTGATGCCATATATTTTAGAAAGATGTGTTGGTGTCACATCTGTTAGAAAGGTGTTGTAGTGGCATATATGTTAGAAAGGTGTGGTCATGCCATATATTTTAGTAAGACACGAACAAATTATGTCAATAGAACAGTATGAGTTAGCTTTAATAATAATTGTACATTATACAGAATTAAACGTTTCGGCACATGCCTTCATCAGTACAAACAAACACAACACATTTAAATAAGTATAAATTAAATTTACATAATGTCAATATATATATCCTACCTAAANTATATATATTGACATTATGTAAATTTAATTTATACTTATTTAAATGTGTTGTGTTTGTTTGTACTGATGAAGGCATGTGCCGAAACGTTTAATTCTGTATAATGTACAATTATTATTAAAGCTAACTCATACTGTTCTATTGACACAATTTGTTCGTGTCTTATTAATCTATTTTAAAGCTTTATTGCAGTCCAACACTTTTTATAATTAGTTAACATATATTTTAGAAAGATATGTTGGTGTCATATATGTTAGAAAGATGTAGTGATGCCATATGTTGGAAAGATGTTGTGATGCCATATGTTAGAAAGGTGTGGTTATGCCACATGTTAGAAGGGTGCGATGATGCCATATGTTAGAAATGTGAGGTGATGCCATATAAATTAGAAAGATGTGTTGGTGCCTCATGTCCTTTGGATTGCAAAAAAAACATTTTGATTGCTTTGCAAAATTTGTAACAAATTTCACCTTAACTAAATGATAGCTTGCAATACAATTAGTAAGTACAGATGCAGTACAATGGACTGGAGTTAAATCAGGATATCATTCATAAAATGATCAAAACAAAATAAGGGAAACCTGAAAAAATAATGCAACAAAACATTGAATGTGTCAGCAAGAAGCCTTCTTCAACCAACAAACAACAGTAAAAAACAATATAAAATAAAATTTAAATAAGCACTCGGCTGCAATGTAGCATTGGAGAAGACAGCAAGAGGAATGTGACATTCATAAACTGATGAAGGAAGCTGGTGGTCAGGTACTGATCCCTTATAAACAAATGGCTTTGCTGCATCATGAGCATCAATAATAGGTTATGGAGAATGTCTACTTTGAGTAGGAGAGTCAGATGGAGGATTTCCTTGGTTCAAATGAGATTTGGCATTTCGGAGATTAAAAATGATATATTATATTGTATAAATCATTTGGGTTGTAGAACAAATCATCTGAGTTTCCCTCATTTGTTCTGGGGAAATTTGCTTGATATAAGAATGCTTTTGACTACAGCTCGTTTGCGAATGAGTTTTGCTCAAATCCAAGGTCATACTGTTTATATTTGCTTATAGGAAAAATTATTTACAAGGTTTGTACATAGAACCTCCTCAAGATGACCCCGATTTGACTAAATTCCCCATTGTATTGTTGTAAGCTTTTGAAACATAGTGGTGTTTTTTTTTTCAATCTATTTTTTTTAAACAAATGTAATTTTGAAATATTTTTATTTTGAATTCTCTGTATGTGTTTTTTTTTTTTAATTTTTAAAGAGCTTCACAAAGTCAGATCAACAAATTCTAACTCATCTCCCTACATCAGCAACTGTAATGGAGTTCTGGAAAATGATCATCCAGTATCAAGTGTCTCTTGTTCTAGCTTTTGAAGTAGATGCAATGGTTGGAGACGAGGTAATCTGTCAATTAGTTCAAATTTGGGTCTCAGTCTCCTTCTCTATATTTCATATTCAAATATAAACAAAGCACTTCCCACTTACTCATTAAATCCTTCTGAATTTAAAATTAGCAATAGTCAAATGCATTCTTACATGTTTGATTTGGTAGATATATTTTTATCTTCTAAACACAAGGTGTGCTATAAGTACACATTGAATTAAGAATAACATTATAGTTATTTTGAGTATTAAAAATCAAAATATTAAAATGGTATTTGTATTTTTTTCTTTTAAATTTCTCAGTCACTTGGTCACTACCTGCCCAGCAGCTCTAAACCAATAAAAACGCCACAGTTTGAAGTACACATGGAAAGTTTAGTATGCGAAAAATTTTGGGAAGAGAAGAAACTGAAAGTTGTTGTAAAACAAATGTCAAACGCAGTAAGCAAATGTGTTATATGTTATGTTATGTTTTTCTGCTAGACAGAAGAGTAATAAAAAAATTTTTTAAAGTTGTCTTGCAGAATTTGTTTTTTTTTAAAATTTTATAGTAATGTAACATTAAATCTTAGTTATAAGGAATGTAATATAATATTTATATCTTCAAATTTTATGATATAAGTTAAGAAATGGCTTAAGTTATATTTGAAAAACAATTTTAATATAAACTTATGATTATTTTTATTTTTTTTACTAATAAGTCAATATAATAAAGATGTGATTTTGATACCTGACAGAGATCCAAAGAACACACAGTTACCCATGTGAAATGCACATTTTTTGAACTTGACCCAAAGAAAGTCTTGAGTTTCCTTAGACAAGCCCGCTCCTACAATGCATTAAAAGATGGAGTCATTGTGTACATGTGCAGGTAAATGACAAAACTGTTGTATCCTGAGGTCAACCTTAACGTTGGCAGCATTTAAATTAAACAGGGGATTTACTTGGACAATTCACAATGTAATTTACACCATTGTTTGCAGAAATTAGTACACATTTATTCAATAGTATAGTACATATGGATCATTAAGTAAAGTTTTGAACAAATTATTACGGTGTGTGTGAGTGTGAGAAGGGTGGAGGAGGGGGGGTGTAGGTAAAAACGAATGTATTTGAAAAATGTGTTAAATTTTATTATTATATTTAATATTTCTTCAGGAATGGAGCAAAATACTGTGGCCTTGCTTGCGTGCTCACTCTTTTAATGGACAGAATGGATAATGATTTGAATCTTACAGTCCCATTGGTGGTTGGATGTTTGAAAACTATACGACCGGAAGTCATTCCATCTCTTGTAAATATTCATTTGCTGAACACTTTGTTGCATAATGATTTGAGCAAGTTACTGCTTTCTTGCAGGGCCAAATGGTGTTTTAACTTATCTGGAACAAAGTTTTAGGTCCTCTAATTCATTACTGGAGTACCTCACTATAATCAATACATTTGAAATTAGATAATTCCCCAAAAAATATACCATTACGTCAAAGCTCATTTGAATTGAGACTGAGAGGGCATAAAACATGGGTCCAATTATTTGTAGCATGATGACACAATTAAGTTTAGTCTCACAATCAACATTTTGTTTAAAAATTAGACTTTAAAAAAGTGTTAACCTTGTGAATTTTGTTTAAAAAATATAATAGGAAGGCTTTAAAAAGTGTTTACCTGGCGTTACAAGACTTTATAAAAAAAATTAATTTAGAAATTTATTTTTTAATTTAAAGTTTAAGTGTCCATTTTTGTGTGTTTTATAATAGGTACAGTACAGAGTTCTTTATCAGGTGCTTTTACGCTATAGAGAAACTTCTGCATCATACACCAACTTTGGGGACTCCAAAGAAAAGATTCATCAAAGTTCTGACATCAAGCCCGTCCAAGAGAATGAAACAGAAGCAGATGATGATATTAATATTTATGCCAATACCTAATTCCAATGATTATTCTTAACTATATCAAGTTGCTGCATGTAAAATAGGGCTCTATAATACTCAGAAGAGGCTTATATGACACTAGGGCTGTGTAACTTACCATACTCAGAAGAGGCTTATATGACACTAGGGCTGTGTAACTTACTAAGAAATTGGAATGAAAGAAATTAATTGACAGCGCAACTATACTGTTAAATCTATTTTATTTTGTTTGGCACATAGGTTAAAATTTCGTGTGGTTGTCTTAATGCAAATGCAACAAATTAAAAGTGAAAATACTTTTGTAATTAATTTTTCATCCAAACAACACAAATTTGTTAATGTAAGCTCCTTCAGGCTTAAAATGAATTTTTGTTGACATATTTTATGCGTCATTTTTAAATTGTTTCAGAGAAGAAAATTATCTGTTTATTGGTCGTAATAGTCCAGCTTTCAACAGGGCCTCTAATGAGATAGCCACATCATGACCAGGCTAATCTAAAATCTGTTTGTCACCAAAAACGCTGAGAAAAATAACAAATTCATTAATTTCATCAGTGATTAATTTATTTAATGTAAAAGTTCTTTAACAAAAGTTTGAAACTCACCTTACTCCCTCTTAACAGATCCTCAAATTAATAATATATGGCAACTTTGCTCATTGAATCAAAATTTACAACGAACTCTCTTCCTTCTTAAAAATGTGTCCCTTCTTGCTATGTTAATAACACAATAAATATGGGAACAAATATTTTATGCTGCTGCTGGTAAGAACTAACTTTTTAATATTTTTAAAATCACTACTCCCATTTATTCCTAATGAAAATTGTTTAAATATATTGTATAAAGCAGGTATCTTCTTAGGGTACCAATTTGAAAATCTGCGCTTATCTTAATTTAAGTACTCTAAAGTAATCTTAATTCGATATGTTTAGTTGTAACAATTTGCTGAAATGTAGTGTTCCTACCATGTGGCTAAACTCATATTTGTAGTCTAATGGTGCTTTCATTATGCTCAATGCTAGGAATTAAAGATAGTATTTAAACATAAATTTACATTTTTCCACATGTTTAAAAATGTTTATCATCCTATTTATGGCAGGTGTCATCTGGTCCTAGAATTGAATAATTTATATCCATGACGCTGGATTGCTCTTCATATTTTATTATCTCACACAAATTTTGTACATCGCATTTTAATAAATGTGTACACCCTTTTTAAAGATATCTAAATTTTCAGTTTCTTTCTTGATGAGGCTGTCTATCAATAACACTCAATCAACTTTGATAATTACACATTAGTTTCTAATAAACTACTGTCACGCCGCAGTCATGCCTTCCATTTAAACAAATAACTAGATCAACCACAAAACATATCATTGGTCGTTTTAATTGGTAATAATTAGCTTGATTAAATCAAATGTTCATTGAAGAGAATGAAAAGTCTACGGATACAGAGTAAAAAGATACCTGTCAAAATCTATTCAATAAAATATGTAGGCAAAAGCTTGGGTTATAAATGTTATGGACAAACATGTATACAAACCTAAAAAATATAGTTAATTAATGGTTTTTGAATGTAAGTAACATTAATTAAATGCTGATTTTATCAAATTAAATCAATAACCAAAAAAATGCAAGAAATCTATATTAAAAGCTCATTAAGTTATCATTAAGAATTATCCAGTGTAGCCTGATATGCTCTCCAAGCAAAGCAATGAACATTAAGAAATAATTGGCACAATTAAAAAAAATATTTAACACTTTAAAAAAATATAATTTGTTCCCAATACAATTAGTTAAGAAGTTGGGGACAATTTCTAAATGAAATTGAAAGAAGGGGACCAAACTGAATGCTGCAGCAGTGTGTTCTTCAGTTCTGTAGTTGACACCATTCTTAATGCTTTGGTTGGTGTCAGCATAGATGGACACATTTTAAATCCCACTCCCATTAGGAAATGGACTGGCGCAGTTCAAAGCCCGCTAACTCTTGGTAGTCAGGCAGTAACAGTTCTCTTGTGCAATAGGGTCACCGGGTAGTTCATGAACAAAACAAAGACAGAATTAAGGACAAAATTGAAATTGACACTAAATATTTTTAATATCGGTTATTAAAATAATACACTGTTTTAATACACTGTTCAAAAATATAAGCTGAGATTTAATACTAAATAAACTGGTGTGGATTGCATTTGCATGCATGGATGGATTACTAACAGCAGTATACGAATATTCTTTTGATTGCTACAGGTAAAAGGCAAGAAAATGTGCATACAATTTGGCAACTGATATAGATCTAGCCTCTCAAAAAATATATCAAATTTCAGAGTTTTAAAAAAACAAAATGAGATGAATTCCAAATTAAATTCTGGAACTGGTAATTGGATCTGATAATGCAAAAATAAGAATATCGCACCATCAGATCGAATTACCAGTACAAGATTCAATGTGGAATTCATCTCCCATTTTAAACTCTGTCATTTTATATAACACATTTTTTACAAATGGATCCAGATCTTCACAATATTGGTTTTCATAATGATATAGTAATTGGTGTTGCTGTGCTAAATTTGTTCCAGCTCATCTTTATATGAAAAATATTAGTTTAATATCAGGTTAAAATAAATATTTTTAAAAAATAAATTTTTTAAATATACACAAAAAAAATTTAATTAAAAATATAATAATATATATATATATTAAAAAAACAAACTACATGGGTTGAATAACTCTATTTATACGGCATGTTTAACATAATTAGATCAGACCATGTTTTTTTAGAAGACATTAATGTGTTTCAAAATGTAATTAAGGTTTAAGGTCCCACATATTAGACATAGTAAAGTTATTTGTAACAAAAAGATTGTTGAGGACAAGAACAAAAGAACTATAAGTTAAAGTTGATAATTCTCTAAACCATATAATACCTTTTTCGTCCTGGGGCTGTTTTTATTCTAAAGCAGATACAGTTGTAAAAGAAATGGTGAGGGCTAAGTTGAAATTAAGTAATATTAGTTCAAATTCACAGGGCTGAAAGGTAATTATAAAATTAACAAAATGACATATTCATAATCTACATAAAGGTATACAAATATAGTAATACATTTGTTCTTTATCAGGCCAATTGACACCTAAATATCAAAACAGCTAAACTGACTTTAAACATTCAGCCCATAATAAATATTATGGAGATTATTATATCATAAAATAAATATTTAAAATATCTAACACAGAAGATTGTATAATATTTTTAAAGTGGAGTTTTAAATATCATAAATACAAAGCACAGAGGCTAAATTATCAATGTACATGGAATAAAATAGGCTTTTATATTTAAAACTCATCTTACAAATTAGATGGATAAAGACAGTTATTATCACAAAAGAGCTAAAATACTTAATTTCATGGCATTAACAGTAATTAAAAACACTTTTCAACATATTTTACAAAGATGTTATTCATTTTATATGGAAGTTATGATTTTAACAAAACATTGTACTCATTGGTCAGTTGCATAACTTACAGCTCGAGGGAAGCACAAGATCCATTTTATACATCAAAATATGCTGAATTGACATGGACAAAAACATGTTTAAATGTATGTGATACATGCCGAAGTTCTGTTTAATCCACTGAAGAACTTCTGTCTGCAAAATGATTATATTGTAAATGTTTCTATTCAGACATCTCATGTATCTTAGGAATAACAAAGAAAAGATGTTAACTTTGATGGTAGTATGAGGGACAATCATTGTGCAATTTGCACAATGAATATTAAACACAGTAACAATGGAGTAGGTGGGGTTAGTGCCGCCCGCGGCAGGCCAGGAATTTTGCTCCCCCCACCCCCCATCCAAAAAACTTTGCCGCTGGCCAAAAATGCTGTCACTTCAAATAAATAATTAAGTCATATCCGGGGTGAACTGCTCCTACTGCCTCCTCCCCCCCCCCTCCTTTCCCACTGCACAGTAATAAATGGGTATAAATGAACAAGCCAGTGCTTTAAATTAGACGAAAAAAATTGATAAAAAAAGTTTACAATTGTAAAATACATTTTTTTTTTTAAACTTGTTAAATTCCTACATTTAACTAGTTTAGTATGTCATCCTTAAGCAGATCACTGAATAATGAGCATTGTATAATTGTTACCTTCCAATTACTTTAACTTAGCCTTTGGCACTTTCTTTGACATTTGTAACTTGGTTACACTTCTAACTTTATCAAAATTTTATTAAAGGGAAAAAAAATGTGACCAATAGGATTGTGTTCAGTTCCTGAAAAAATTTGTCAAAACAATGTTTTATTTTTTGATTGGTCAGAATGTAAATTGAAATACACCAGCAAACATGACATCTGTTATTTTGGAGCCCATTTACTTAAAAGACATATTTAATCGATAAATATAATTAGAAAGAGAGGTAACATCTATTATGGCACATTTCATCATCATTTTTTTTAATGATTCAACAGTTTTATTACAATCATGAAACCTTCTTAAACATGAATAAAAAGGTCAATTGTAGTAGCTGCCACCTTATGGTCTAAGCCACTTGATAATAACAAATTGTTTATTTACAAAGTCTAAACAAAATGTATTCTTGGATGTATAAAATATTAACAACTGTAAAAAGAAGCAAAACGTGTTGATTTCATTTAAAAGCATTCATCATATGTTTCTGGTTTCAACATGAGGCCAGTTACTGTTAGTGTTACTGTTAGTGTTTATTTGTGCAATCATGCAAAAAAGTTGTTGTATTGTTCCCAGACAAGGGATTTCCAGTAAAAAAAAACAAAAAAAACTGAAACCTTTACATTTCTATAAAAAATTATTGTTATAAAATGTATAGACATCCTTAAATGTGTATATCAAGTTTAATAAACCTCTTAAGTCTCAAGAAATATTATTGATTACCTTTGCTTCTTATACAAAAGGATGAAAGATAATTTTGTTTATGTCTTGTATCATTTAACAGAATGAAAACAAACCGAAATAGAAGTTTCAATTATACAATTAACAGTAAAGAACATTTGAATGGCCATCAATCTATATCAATTGTCCTTAGATAAATTTAATAGAACTCATAAAAAATATGCTGATTTCCTTCACTTTTTTCTAACCAAGACAAAAGGTATTTGCGTCCATGAAATTTGTAATTTCACCAAATTAAAACAAATAAATAGTAATATCTATTACACTGAGAACAGTAAATAAATATAAAGCAATTCTATTGGAAAACATATTCCATTTAAGCAAGTGTAAAAGTATATTCTACCATTTAAACAATTGAGCTGTCAGCTGTGAGGTAAGACAAGGCTATGGAGGAGGTCATCGATAATGAAACCACCAACATAATAACTGGTTACTGATGGCATAAAATGTTCTGACAAAGTGCAAGTATTTTATGCTAATGCTGGGAATTTCAATTTTTGACCGAGAAGCATTTGAGCTGCTGGTAGCCACTGTTGTCGATTTGATATAAAACCCTCACAGAAAGCTTCCTGTGCCAAAATTATTATTAATAATAAGTCTAAATAAATACTTTCAAAGTTTTCCGGATGGGGATTATCACCTTCAACTTCTCTGTTCACAAAATTGTGTACTTAATCTGCTGATTTTAGGTGGCTATTGCCGTTAAATTCTTGATTCACTTCTGGTGTTGCTGTCTGAAGCTGCTCCTGGAGCTGGACTGGGGAGAATTTCAACGTTGATGCTATCCTCAGATGTGCTACCTAAAGATAGGCTGCTAGGCTCTGACAGAGTAGGAGAGATCTCCCCTAACTGCACATAAGCAGGGAAGAAATAGGAAGATGTGTCTCTTGTCATATGTTCATTGGGAAAACTATTACAAGACACACTGTTGGACACTTGACCAACCTGTGAAGCATTATTTGAGCTTGATGGTGCTGGCCTGTTAGCAATATATCCCTGTGAAGTGCTGTCAGATACAGACTCCTCTGACAGGTTATATCCTTGTGATGTGCTGTCAGACACTGACTCCTCTGACAGGTTATATCCTTGTGATGTGCTGTCAGACACTGACTCCTCTGACAGGTTATATCCTTGTGATGTGCTGTCAGACACTGACTCCTCTGACAGGTTATATCCTTGTGATGTGCTGTCAGACACTGACTCCTCTGACAAGTTCTTCCTTAGGGTCTCCCGGACACTGTGCACATAACCACTTGAAAGGTTTTCTGGAAAAACTTTTTCATTTGAAGGCAT